TTTTTTTTTTTTTTTTTTTTTTTTTTTTTTTTTTCAGTGAACGTATTTTGCAACCCGTCTCTAAACGTGCAAAGAAATTGCAAAACTTCAGCCTCTAAAATAGGTTTAGAATCCTTTTCCAGTTTTGCGTCTATCTGTTTGCGTGGGTACGTTTGTTTTATAAGAGTAGTGTGTGCGTGTGTGTGTGTGTGTGTGTGTGTGTGTGTGTGTATCTGAGTGTGTGAGTGAATGAATTTCTATGTCTATGTATGAGTATTTCTTTGTTTATGTATGTGTCTGTGTGTGTATCTGTTTGTGTGTGTGTCTGTGTCTGTGTCTGTGTCATTCGTCTATTTGTGTGTGAAACATTAAACAATTAGAGACCTGTTATTGATATTTTGCATGGAAATTGTTGCTCCAATACTGTTACTTGAAAGTAGTGTTCTTTTTTTTTTTTGATTTTTTTCATCATCACCATCTTCTTGTTGATTTAGAAGAACTATTAGGATTCCTCCAGTTTACGCATTGATTTAGGTTGATATTGTTGCTGGTTCGGGTATGACGTCACCATTTTATAGCATTTAACAGATTATTGCTGATAATCATCTATAATTCAATTAATTGATTGTTTGTTTAGCAGATTTTGTTCACAATATTCTGTAATATTGTGTTATTGAAAAGTGCAAGATTTCAGCATTCGCTTAAATTTATTGAAGAAAAGAAGTTTTTTTTTCTTGACAGAATTATGACACAAAAATCAAGTAAACAAAAAAAAAAAAGTTTTTCTACGCTGTTAGCAATTTTATTACTCGATTACTTTTTAATGGGGTACCTATATACAGATTATTATTGTTGCTATTACTTTTTTTTTTCTGTTATAGTTATTCTTCATTAATATTGTTCGACAACAATTCTGATAAATTTTTATGATCAAGAGTTTTATTCTATTTTTTTTCAATTTTTAATGGACCGATAATACTATAATTAAGTTGTATTGTTGTCGGGCGCGTTAATAATATCAAAATATTAGGCATGATTAGTTCAATTCAGACTGCGACGTTGCGATCATAAACCATTGTTTACTGACCACAATAGTTTTTTATGTTATCTGTTGGTATGACCTTTTCCTATTCGTCTCGGGCAGTATAAGAACCCGCTCACTCAAAGAAGAAAAAATTTATACACAGATTGTTCAGATTTAAGTCTTATGTTTAAAGTGTCAATGCGGTTTTAATGATTTGTGTTCTGAAATATTTATTTTTGGCAAACACGAAACTTTGTAACGTGACTTGTTAGGTTGTTGGATTTTACTCTGTAGAAAAAATACTTTCAGTAGCATTTTTCAAAAGATGTCGTCGTCTGGTGCAGTTTCGCCTCGAAATCGTCTATCCAGAAAACTTTCTTCATCAAAAATTGCCAAGCAATTAGCGGTAGGTTTTTAACAGAAAAATGAGTAATTCTTAGACTGCCGTACAGTTGAAGAATTTATTGCTTCTCTGAGGCCTGTTTAAAAGTATAGTGAGTATTAAAAGTAAAAGTAAAAACTTATTAAAAGTAATAAGCAGCATTAGGGTTGATATTGATGTGATACTTATAGGACCTAGATCTTTCTTCGTCAGAGTATACAGATCGCGGCGAAACAGCTCGTCGAGAAGGTCGCTTTGTTTTCGAATGTGCATGGGAAGTCGTCAACAAAGGTTGGTTATACCTTTGCTTGCTTAGGATGGCAACGTTCATTATGGCCATAATCCTAAATTAAGTGATTAGTAGTTTCCAGAATTTTTTCAAAAACTATTAGTGTCAGTGACGTCACGGATGGTCTATTTCTAAGGGAATCGGACGATTTGTTGTAATTTTTAGTTGGCGGTATATACACCGTTCTGAGAACTAAAGCGGCAGTTACCACTTTGGAACTTGGTGATCAATATTGTATGTTGGGGCCATATAACGAAGAACGAGTTAGACTTGAGGTTATGTCTTGGATTTTGAACTTTTTTTAATCAGTCGTACAGGAACTTTTTTTACTTTTGTCTTTGAATAGTGATAATATTTTTAAAACAAAATTACTGAGGCATGTTTCAGGTCGAATTGCTGCAGCCAGATACAGCGCCCATGAAATATGCAATGGATCAAATGAGTGACATCGGATTCAAGGTGAAGCTTGTTACTTGATTGTGTTCTAAAGTACTAATGTTTGAAGTACTTAAAATAATAAAATTTTGGGCATATTTCGGTCGTTGGTTGATTGACGGCTACCCAAACGTAGTTTTATTTGACATCGGTTCAGCCGCGTGGAAGTTGGACCAATGGAAACATGAAGTATGTTTTTTTTTTTTGCTTCGCGGTGGTTCTGAGAATACAGTCGATGACAGTAGCATAGTTTTTTCATATTTTAGTTATGGGAGTCTTGTCAAATTGGAATTCCATGGAACGATAGGGAAACAAACGATGCAGTTATACTTGGGTTTCTTGTCGCTATTTTTATCCAGAAGGTTTGGCTACATAATCTTTGTCTTTTTACTGTTATTTTAGTTCTTCATTGTTAGTTTAGCTCTTATATAAATTCAACTTACGTCGTAATGTTATGTTTGTTGTTCCTAGTGAGTCTAGGTAACTGAGTGTAGTTTCGCAAACACTGTCATTATGACATTTAGTATATTTACGCAGTAGAAGGATTCGAGCCTTTGGTTGTGGCTCATTTTCACGAATGGCAGGCTGGTGTAGGATTAATTTTGTCTCGGTAAGTGCTTTAATTGCTTCTGTTTCGGATATTTATATCAGATCTCGCTGAAGAAACTGCGCGAAGTGAAATGTCCGTCTAGGAATTAGTTTTCGTCTTTTTTAGTTTATCTGTTTTTCTCAGTCAGCTGGGTTTTTTAACAATTTTTTGTTTGGTAATTAGGTTTTTTTGTTCAGTAACTTCCTGACTAGACGTAGCAAGAGCATTGAGTGTTTTGTTAAGTGTTGAACTACGAAAGTTCGAGTGTGGATAAGCGAATATTAAAAATACTCGTTAACATGCAGCCTATTACTTTTTGTAAATCATAAATTGCCTTCTTCGATCATTAACTTCTATTTTTATAGTTTTTCGTGTTAACGATTTCTTGTTAGTGTATATATTTGAGAGAGTCATTTCTGAGGTCGGGTTATTCACTGTGGAGTCTGAAATGGAAATTTTTTGTAGCTTCGCAATTTGTATCAGATATGCATCTAAAATTCTAGATGAAGGATACGTGTAAGTTAACCGCCCAATGTGAATTAAATTACATGCTCTGAGCCAAAAGTCAAATATAGTAAGAAAACCTTTCAGCTTTATTTGGCATGCCCCTCGTATATTTACTTCTACCATTATATTTTGGGTGGATATTTGGCACAGTAATTAGATTGCTCTGTAATTACGTAAAAACTTGAAACTTGTAAAAACTAAAAACTTGAACCCAATTTTTAATGATTCTTTTGCTTTTTAGCTTGTGGAGGACGAACGTTGCCACTATTTTTACAACACATGCCACTTTACTGGGACGTTACCTAAGCGCTTCTGGAGCAGATTTATATCACAATCTTGATAAGGTATAGTACCAGGAATACAGCTTCAGCTCTGGGAGGGATAACTTTTTACTGTTAAATTTTATCTTTGTGCTTTATATTACATATCTGAATCTTCAGTTCGATCTAGACAGGGAGGCTGGAACAAGACAAATTTACCACAGATATTGCATCGAAAGAGCGGCAGTAAACATGGCTCATATATTTACTACTGTTAGGTATTGAGTTTTAATTATGTTTGATAAGGGCTGCTGGTAGTGACTATCGTCAATTTCCGACATTATACAAAAAGTTTTTAAAAATTGCTTTCCAGCGAAATAACTGGCCTTGAAGCTTTTCATTTACTGAAACGGAAACCCGACATTGTAACACCGAATGGCCTTAATGTTGTCAAATTTGCGGCTTTACACGAGTTCCAAAACTTGCATGCTATTTCAAAAGAAAAAATCAACGATTTTATAAGGGGTCATTTTTACGGGTTAGTTTTTTCAGTCTACTTTTGTCTTAGCCGGTTGATAAGGTGCACTTCTTTTTTATTTTGAAATGTGGCTTTTTAAACTTTAAGGCAAGCTGTGATTTTTGAACGTAATGTAGCAATGAAGTTTCGCCTATTTCCTATCTAAGCACTTTTATTAGTAAGCTTCGATCGTTGCTCATCACTGCAAGGACTTATTATTTAGAAAAGCCCCTTTTTTGGGTTACTGGTGGATAAACCTTTATGGTGCATTTGGATCATGTTTGGATAGTTGCTTAGAAGGATGAAAGATAGTTTTCAAAATTTGTGTTATCTTGCGTTCGAAATTAGCTTTAAATAAATCTCAGCGGTTTTTTATAAATCGTTTATCAACTTTTCCGCCAAATAAACCAACTCCAACAACTTACAGGAGGCTTATTTCCGCGGAAAAAATTTTATTGAGCAATGGATTATTACTTGTTTAAGCTCAACTGCAGCGATTTCTCTTGTAGCTTTTGCTGGCTGCTTTTGACCGAATGAGTAACGGTTGTTAAGAGTCATTAGGATTTGCTTCCCATTTCATTCTTTTATTGAGCTAACCCTCACAAGACTAGATTCTGTAAGAGCCGGCGTATAACACTGTTGTCTAGCAGTTTGAAATATCTTTGAAATAAAATAGAAAAATAGAAAAAAAAAATTTGAAATAAAATTTTTAAATTGTCAGAATACGTGATACCAAAGTTTTATTATAGGCTTATAGTATCCTATTTGATTTTAGGCTGCTTTTAAACAGAAATTTCAAAGTTATTCGATTCACCACTTTCAAGTGTTCGTTAGAATAACCGTTGAGATATTGATCAGTTAAATCTGTTTTTGGGACTAGTGGGACATTAGATCAAATTGAACAGTTAACTGTGGTTAATAGTTTACTGTCATTTGCTTTTGCAGTTGAGTACTTAATTATAACATGTTTAGACATTACGATTTTGATTTGGATAAAACGCTGTATTTGTTTACTGCTGGTCGTTATGAGTTTACCAATAAAGGTGGTGATTTCTTCATCGAGGCGCTTGCCAGACTTAATTATTATTTGCAGGTTGGTTTGGTTTTTTTAATCTTCTGTAAAACTGGCCTGTAACTGTGTATCTACTCAACTTCACGTTCTTTGTCTTGTAGCGAGTACGTTAATAATGCAATTGATAGAACAATTAACACAACTTCTCAAAATGTGTATCTCATTGTGCAAATACTGTGCACAGTTCAATTGATTGATTCATCAGTATTCACTATAAACATTATTTCTTTTCTTTTCTGTATGAAGTCTAAACTGCCGAAGAAGGAAAGAAAATTTGACATTTTTCTTTCACTAATATTTCCACACATCTTACGTGTTTACATCACTTTACATTTCTTTCTGAATAGTTTTAAAAGGTTTAATAGAAGGGTCTTAAAGTTGAGAAAAATGTATACGGAATAGATGCATTAATGTTTGGCGGTGTTTATGGTATGTTTCTGAAGACTGACTGCAAACTAATAAATCAAATGTCTTTTTTTTTTCTTTTGTTATTGTTTGTCAAAATTGCTTCTCTAATAGTTGACTACAGTAGTGATTAGTAGTTTAGAGGTTGGAATAAAAAAATTATTGCAGCAACATGTGTGCAACATAATTATGTTTTGTTCTTTCCATAAAAAAGTCTTGAAATTCTGTTTTGGATGGTTTTTGTAAAAAATTATAGTATTTATCAATGCGAAGATGTATGTTCCCTGAAAGATTATAATGTTATGCTCATTTTATTCTCTAAGGTCTAATTTTTTCTTGCTAGTCATTTTTTTTTTTTTTTTTGTCTTTTGTAACAGAAACGCAGCAAAGGGCTGTGGTAGGTAAAGGTAAGTGACGACAAAAAGATATGACAAATTGATGATAATTTAAAGTTTAATGAACGAAACACATGTTCTATGCAACTACTGAAGTGAAATAATTGTTGCAAATAAATGAGTCGTTTTATAAAAATTAGAAAGTTTTACTGCTGAATTTTTTTCTTTCTTTTTTTGTAACTATATTCTGTGTTCTGCCGGATCTTGACAGTCTTTCTGCTATGATTCTACGATGCATAAAATGATTTAGGTTTTGTGTTCGCATTAATTTTTGCACTCTATTAATTATAAGATTCCTCCTCGGAAAGTTGCTGTCCCATTGTGGAAGTATCGTCTTTATAAGCAATTTCCATTTTATAGTTTGAGCAAACGAAAAAAAAGTTTAGATGAGGCGAAAATGATGCCTTTTTTTTTGAAATCTCAAAAATGGTTTCAAATCATTGTTTAATGGACTTTATCTAGTTTTCATCTGCACTTTTACAGGATGTGAAACATTTTTTCTTTTATTTCTTTCAGACAGTGGTACTGTTTAAATTTAACTATTGAAACTGTTAAAGGAAAGGATTTAGATGATATTTAGGAAGTTTTAAAGCGCCTAGTCAGTTTATGTTTTAAATTAATGCAGACTAGCAGTTTTCATTGGTATTACTGTAAAAGCAGTATTTTTTGACTCTGCAAATAGTTTAAGTCAAACTCTATCTATTTTTTTTTTTTTTTGCAGTTAGTGAGGAGTGACGACAGTAGTTTATTTTTGAAGTTGATAAGGTTCTTTAGAGTCTGTGGTATTAATGTTCACACATAAAGGAATAATGAAACAGAAACCTCCTTCACTTTTTTTTATTCAGATGAAAATTGGTTTTTTTTTTCAAATATGAAAAGATATTTTTTTACAGTTTTTACAAAAATCAGTTATTTAGCAATGCTTTTGAAGCACCATTTTTTTTTAGGTTTTTTTTATGTTCATATCAGGAGTTTTGCTATACGGTAGTGCCAGTTTAAAAATTACTTCAATTTTCCGAACAGTTTGGGCTTTGAATTAAATATTTTTTGGTGACCTATATTAGAAATTTGTTAGTTGCCGCTAGAAAAGCTTTTTTTTTCTCATTTATTGATCAGTAAGCCGGAATCTTTTTACTTAATTTAAATTTTATTTAACATGTCAAAGGACTGAGCGTTCTTTTTTCTTTTTATGTTTCATTTTCTTTCAGCACTATTAAAGTTTGTTTTCTTTTTCTTCCAGCTTTTTTTCGGTTTTTAGTCGTATATCTTCAAATTTATTTAACAATTTCTAACACTGTTGTAAATTTTTCAGTGTTGCTTAGAATTTGTTATCTTTGATTTCAAAAGCTGTGCCTGTTCCAAAACACTTGTGGCTTTAAAACTACAGTTACACGTTCCGTTGAAATCATCAAATCTGATTTTTTATTCATTTTCTTCCCCTCTTCAAAAATCACTATTAGTGGTCTGAGTGTTTCCGGAAAGTTGTTGAAAGGAATTTCGTTTCAGTTGCAACGGCTAAGTTATCATCGTTGCTGAAGGAAATGAGGAAAGGATTACAACAAAAAGCCTTTCATTTTTTCACACCAAACATTGAATTGAAAATATAGTTTCTTTGAGTTATTTTGATCTGACAGAAAAAAAAACTAACACATTGGCTTTATTCCCAAGAATCTGTGCACTTTTGTCGTAAACTTTTTTGTGAAATTCCTTTATTTCCTCCAGAAAGTTTATTTTATTTGCTTGTCTGTTACTTTTGTTAGGCACTGCTTTAAGGATTCGACAAGTGGTGCCTCTTTTAGAAAGGGTTTAAAATGCTATGCCAGAGGTTTAGTTCTCTTTTAATAATGCGGCAGGGCAGATGCAACCAGAAGTGAACTAAGGAGTATTTTTCGTTATTCTATCCTTTAATTTGTCTGTTCCAACATATTATCTGTTATTACGTAATTCGCTTTTTCGTTATTGTTTCTATATGTAGTCAGTTTGGCGAATTCTGAGTTCAGTTAGATGAGAGTTAGAGTGATTAGGTGATAAGAGATCGACAAAGGAGGCGCATAAAAGTTGGCTAAATAACTGTTAAAATCTTTTTTGCGATTTTATCAAGTATTAGTTTTCCTTTGTGTGCCATTCTGTTGATAGTTCTCCTTGTATTGTTTTGTGTCTTCTTTTTTTTTTTAATCAGATAATTAGTCTGTTAAGTTTTTAGTGACTTAATTTTTTTTGAGGAAGCTAAAGTTTGTTTGCGTATAATGAACTTTTATTTGGAAGAGGAGGGGGGGAGGAGTGAAGCTTAAAACAAAGAGAGAATAGCTGGAAAAAGTCTATTTTCAGCGTTTTTATGTTTTCATATTGACAAAACGGTGGTTGAAATCGTTTTTATCTACGACACAAATAAATGAAGCTATTTAATTTGGTGGATTGTAAATTGCAAACTTAGTTTATTGTTGAGGAGATGCAGGTGAAAAATCAGTTTTTCTTAAAAGATCATTTATAAGCCCTGCTTTTTGTTGATTCTTTAGACCTGGAAGGAGTTGAATCTATGCCTGATCTGCTTATCGTCTATAATTGCTTGTTAACTCTGCTGAAAATCACATTCAGTTGCTCTACATTGATCTGAATGTTTTGATCTAACAGCGTAATTCTGCAAACTGATATGCGACTGTAAACAGGGAATAATACTCTTGTTAGTTCTTGGAAATAGATACAACGGAAGTCTTTATGCGTTTCTCGACAGAAGACTGTTTGTAGATTATGTTGCATGGTTGAAATAAGTATAATTTGAGCAATGTTTATACGCCTAGAAGTTCCAACGGTTTTTAATTCTGTTAACTAGCTTCTATGTGAAATGGGCATCTCAATTTACCACTTATGATTTCGTTTTTTTCTTCAAAATTCAAAATAACTCCCAGAATGTATTTGTCTTTTTTTTTCTACTTTTACTTTCCGCTTCTCAATTCTCCCTTTTTTGCTCTCATGTTTACTTTTTTTTGCGCCTCTAATTAAATTTCTTTTTAGCTAACATTTATTACCAAGCTGCATCAGTAAAATCTGAATTTAAAATTCAACGCAATGAACTTTATGTACTTGAAAAAGGTTAATTGTTGCCATTGAACAAGTTGAAAATTAATGTCACCTGTAGACGTAGCCAGTTTTTTTACTTACGATATTCTACCTTATGCTATCTTTATTCTTTTTTGCTACGATATTATACTTTTTAGTTTTTATGGCTTATTTAAATATGACACTTGTTCTAATCTATTTGAGCGTTTCTTTCACATCA